TATTTTTTTTATTTAGATTTTGGGGGATCTATAATAAAAGAAAAAGATTCAGTGCCCACTGACACCACCCACCATGGAGTCCTATAAGGGGATGCACTACAATGTCAAACAAGGACACTGCAGCAATGCCAGGGTTTCGTGGGCACTATACCCAAACACCAGCATCAGTCACGATGCCAGCAACACACGTTGAGAACGTCCAACACTGAAACTCAGTTGAACCTAGCCCAATAAGGCCAGCTGATTCACCTTGAGGGGGCCACCCATCTACAGGAATTCAAGGCCAAAGTGGTGTGTTGCAGTGCCCCAGACACCACTCAACCACTAGGATCCTCTCCTCCCCTTCATGGGTTGCCACGTATGGCAAACACGTGGGTGGATGTTTAGATCCCAGAGGAAGTAATTGGAAATACAGAAACTTCCCTGGGAGGTCCCCTCACCGCGTACAGGAATCCACGTCAAGGGGTTATAATTAAGAAACTATTGTTTGTCTCAAATATTATTTGTGTAATCTCTAAAACCTTCTAAACACTTTTGAAATGCTTGTTTTAAGTAAAACTTTATATTTCTTCTATTATTTTCTCTACCCTAACTCTATGGGGTCTGTAAATTTGACTGACTTTGCATCTACCATAAAAAATTAGGAAATAATTATAAATTATGTCATTCTAGAATGACTACAGATTATAACATGAAAACACAAATATTTAGTCTAAATAGCTTAAATCTCATAAAATTACATTTATATATATTTCTATTATTTTTCATTATATTGAATTTCCAGTGAAGCCTGGCTAACAGTACAGAAGTTACAATGATGTAGCCCACATGCACCCATAATACCATATCCAATAATACAAAATGACCTGTCTTGGCTGTGTTTCAGTGGACTAGTATTTTGTAAAATACAGTCACATTTCAATTATTATACATTATATATGTATATACATGAATACTATTTACAAATATATTTTTAGACTTTATTTTCTTAAAACATAAAACAATAAATAAAGAAGTAGAGCAAATAATTATCTCTTCTAGTTATGACATTTTTACTTGTTTGCTGCTTGTCGTAGGTTGCTAAGCCTTATGAAATTTCCCACATGGAGGATGTGAAAAGAAAATTTTTTTAGGTTTTATATAAATATTCTAAGTAACCAAAAAATAATAAATTACTATATTGATAGTATTGAATTCCACT